AATTCTGTTTCACCATATTCAACCACCCTGCCTTGTAACTCGAACCGAAACCTCCCAGTCCTGGCTACCTCTACATCACGAACATCATGCAACACCATCAAATGACAGAGCATCGGGTTACCATTCGGGTTGGGCATACCAATGAAGATCCCAAAAGTTGTCTCTCGAAATAATTCAAGTCGCCTAGTATTTAGTTTTGGAATGTACTTTTTCAACACAATCCCAAATACCCCTCTAAAAGTACATTCTGCAGGCCATCCACGAAAACTATGCGACAAAGGATTAAACATATATGCCAAAATTAAACAAAATAATATTGATATATTGTTTTTTTAACAATTTTATGCAACAAAAATATTGTTTTTATTCTATAACTTTCTATACAATAGTCTTCGTGAATAATTATATTTCAAAATAAGTTGTCCATTTTTTATAACAAATTTACAAAATTTTACAAAATGGTCTCATATATATTATAAAATTTACATAAATGGTCCATGTTAATAATTAATAGAAATTTTAAATTTTCAATGTTTTTTCTAATTACACAAATAATTGGAAATCAATTTTAATATGAGATATAATCAACATAAAATGATCTCAATATTCAATGGTCCATTTAAGAGATAATAATTACAGAAAATTAAAAAAAAATTAAATAAGGATCCGTAGAGGCGGTTATCGTTCCGCAGAGGGCTCCTCTGCGGATCTGTTCTTGACGAAAAGAAGGGTTCCTCTGCATAAATCGATTTCTCATTTCCAATTTTTACACCCTAACAAACATATATGTTTATAAATAACATTTAACCAATCAATTTCCAAATCATATAATCGGTTTCTACAAAGATTACTTGAGTTATTAAACAAAAATTATGAAAAAAATTTACTTGAGTGCCATATCCATCTAATAACACATCGGAGTGCAGTTGTTCCACAAATCGAGCTCGCCTTGACAATTTTTTGTCCGTTTCGATCACACGTCCACAGAACCCCCGCAGCAAGCTCCATACCTTCCTTCCGCAGTCGAGTAATGAGGAATGCTTTTTTTTTCCAGTGTTTTTTTTAATCCGCAGAAGAGTTAATGGTTCCGCAGAGGATCTTGTGCTTCCGCAGAATCCCCTTTGCGAAACCTTTGGTCATTATCTGAAACATCCATTTTTGTGGTCATTTTTTTTTCAAACGCATCCTAAATTATGGTCATTTGCTGAAAATACTCATTAAAAATAGTTTAGAAGTGAATTAAATTTTTCAGTTAAAAAATAATAATTAAATGTAAACAAAATTTTTTAAAAATAAACTATTGTCAAGTTCTAAAATTGGCCCTCGTGAATAAAACTCATTTTATAAATTTTTGGTGAGTATGATTTTTATCAAAAATGGATAAATAACTAACTTTTATTTCATAAGAAAATAAATATACTTGATAATTTATAATTAGACTTATGTATGATATTAAAAAAAATAATTTAAGTGCGGAAGTCTAAACTAATTGTCATTAAATTGGTGTGTAAACCAACATTTGGGCCATCCTATTTAAGGTTTAAAACAGTTAATCTAAATTCAACAGGCCACGTTAACTACAAGTATTGAACTCGGGACGTATAAGGACTGAACAGAGGCAACGCCTTTTCCAATTGGTCTGTATTCATGTTTGTTTAAAATGTAACACTAATTATATATAATTATTAACATCTATTTTTTTGGGGCCCCAATCCGACGATGGGCCTTGGGGCCCAACTTGCCCACCCCCATGGGTCGGGTCTATACCTACTACAAGCTACCCGCTACCAGCTAGTTTTGCCGAACACGTATGTATGCATTGTGTTTGGCATGTAATCGCTCTATATGTTGACATGTTGTGTTTATATGTGTGTGTGTGTGTGTATATATATATATATATATATAGAGAGAGAGAGAGAGAGAGAGATGATCATCTGAGAACCTATATTTTCCTAAGAACCCGAAAACTAAAAGTGGAACATTAAATCAAATTTTTTGTAACATCCATAAAAATCAAGCCAATTTAAAACTTTTTCAACCATTCAAAACCATTAAGTTATTACAAAGTGTTTTCAAAATAGTTTAAACATCATAGTATCCCAGAAATCCATATCATAAAAATGTAAGGAGGTGCACGATCACGCACTCGCCTTCCTACAATTATCTGAAGTACCTGAAACAAGATCTAAAACTGTAAGCTCGAAGCTTAGTGAGTTCCCTCAAAATACCCATACACACAACAATATATATATATATATATATATATATATATATATATATATATATATATATATATATATAATCACAAACATCATATTATAGGTCCAATCAACCATTGAGTTGGAATACCCCAGACCCTCAACCACCGGGTTGGAATGCCAACATACTATGGGTCCAGTCATCCTCGGGAAGGGATGCCCTCGGCCCACAACCATCGGGTTGGAATGCCCACGTCTATTGGCTCTCGCACAAAGCAGATAAGCCTCAACCACTAATCCAACATGTGCACATATATCAAATAATCACATAATAATCTATAGACAGACAAATTGATCTAACAGATCATAACAACATAATAACATTCTATCTACCAAGATACCGATCTAACAGATCATAATAAAATAATATCATCATATCTACCAGGATACTGATCTAACAGATCATACAATACTCGAGCATATAACATATCAGGATAACAATCCAAAAAGGATCGGCCTTGGTGCCTTCGACCCTTGAGTATAGTGAGGAAAACTCACTTCACAAGTAGCTCAGGATGATAATGTCAAACTCCTCCCAATACAGCTTCAACTCAAACACCTACATCCACCAATGATCCACTTCCTATAAATTCCCAAATTACTAAAATACCCCTAGAAGTCAAACCGGTAAGTCAACGGTCAAGGTCAACAGTCTATGTTGACCCAACTCGTCGAGTGTAGCTCACTGAATCGTCGAGTCCTTCCATAACTTGAGAAATCGTGAGAACCCTAGTTGACTCGTCGAGTTTCCAGACAACTCGTCGAGTCCATGCGGTGTCCAAATGTCGGGAAAACTCTAACTGACTCATCGAGTCATCTCACTGACTCACCGAGTCCATGCAAAAACCAACTATGGCCAATCTTCACCCGACTCGTCGAGTTGATCATGCAACTCGTCGAGTCCCTTCAGTCCATTTCTCATTCAGACGTTTTTAAGCTACCTCAAAGCTCCAAATTCCAGATCTAACCTCCTAGGGCATGGTTTCCACGTAAAATTGCAAACTTTACGTACATGCAAGGTTCTAAATGCCAAAATCAAGCTAAGAGAGAAGTTTAGGTAAGGGGAAGGCCATACCTTGCCAAAGACCGAAACTTTATGACTATAAGGGCTTAAAGGAGTCCAAATCTGAAGTTACAACTTCAGATCATTCCCAATACCCGAAATAACCCACAACTAACTAGAAAATGACCCCCAACCTTTGCATAAAGAGATATAGCTAGAGAGAAGTCAAGGTAACGACTTGTTACCATCAAGATGATGCCAAGATGAAGTAGAAATTAGATCCACAAGCTTCTCCCTGCTCCAAGCTCCTTAGACTTCAAGCTTTCTTCACAAAATCCACATTCCAAGCTTCTTAACACACAAAAATGGAGAGTAAGCGCGTTCTGTGGTTTTCGATCATTTTTGAAGCTTCAAAAATGGTCCCTGTGGTTTTCGAAAATATCAAGTTTAGTCCCTAAGTTTAAAAAACCTCACAGATGGTCCCTGTGGTTTCAAAACTTTTTACATTTGGTCCTTTTCGCTAACTCCGTTAGCTTTTGGCCATTAAGTGAAGGGCAATTCTGTAATTTCACTTATGAAGTTTTACTTTATTTTTTTAAATATATAATTATTTAATATTAAAGGGTCCTACCTCTCTCCCTCTCTCTCTCTCTATCTCTCTATCTCTCTCTCCGACGAGCCTCGTCTTTATCCATCTTTCTCAGCCTTCGTCTATCTCCATATTTCTCCCTCGCACCTGAAGTCCGATGCAGACCAATGATTTGGCGAATTAGGGAAACCCCAATCGATTTGGCGGCGACGTTCTATAGAAGACGAAGGGCAGCGACGAGTTAGGTTTTTCAGATCCGGTGAGTTAGAATTTCCGGACCAACGATTTAGGGCCGCTATCTTCCCCATAAAACCCTAGCTCCAAAATCTTCATCGGCAACCCGTGCCCTGGTATGTTGAACGATGACCCTAGCTTTGATTTCAGGTTTGATAGCTTGATTTCATATATGGTTTTGACCAATGATTTCAGGTACGATTATTATTTGGTGCAAGTGGTAATCGATGGTTTCCATTGGCAGAAGAACCGGAACCAGATGTGAGAAGGAGGGTGGAAGAAGTATAGATGGTGTCTGAAGCAATTAAGAAAGGTCTCGATCTAATTTTGACGTTTTCAGTCAAACATTGTTCACTCATCCATCCATACAATATCTGGGGAGAGAGAGAGAGACTTTTTCAGTCAAACATTGTTCACTCATCCATCCATACAATATCTGGAGAGAGAGAGAGAGAGAGAGAGAGAGAGAGAGAGAGAGAGAGAGAGAGAGAGAGAGAGAGAGAGAGAGAGAGAAAGACCCTTTAATATTAAATAATTATATATTTTTTTTAAAATAAGGTAAAACTTCATAAATGGTCCCTATGGAAGTGAAATGATAGAATTGCCCTTCACTTAACGGCCAAAAGCTAACGGAGTTAGCGAAAATGACCAAATGTAAAAAGTTTTGAAATCACAGGGACCATCTGTGAGGTTTTTTGAACTTAAAGACTAAACTTGATACTTTCGAAAACCAAGAGATCATTTATGAAGTTTTATCTTTATTTTATTGTGTTCACAAAAAATCAATAATAACCTAATTACCTATAAGTCCATTAGTATCTAATCTAAAATCTAGGTACTCCAAAACCCTTTGTCGTACTAAGAAAGGTCAAAATGCCGTCTTCGCCGGCAAATGCCATCTTTTCCGGTTGGGTTCCTTTTCTGTAAGAAATCGAATTTTAAAAAAGTTGTTAAGTTATATATGCATTACTTTTAGATTTTTAATTATGTAAATGAGTTGTCAATTATGGAATTAAAAAAAAAATGTACAGTTCCCTTGTTCTATAGTCGTAAGTTATGTTATTCGCCGCCCAAAATCCTCGGTTGATTCACCAATACAACTTTTTTTTTGGACTTTCTTTATTCCTATTTTCTTACCTCGTACTTCCTTTCCCTTACACAACAACAACAACAACCAAATCTGCACTAAAAGGTCAACCAACATTCATCTATTGTGATACTGCGTATGAACAATTGCTTGAAATTCATTGTTCTGTGATTCTTCCTGCTTGATTTAAGCTAGCTCTTCATCAAAATCTATCGAGCTTTGTTGAAGGATGTCGTTCGTTGTGGGATTGATAATCGGAATTACGATTGGATTTGCATTGATTATTGGATTTGTTCGATCGGAAAATGGTCGATCTAAGCGTCGTTCTGCACTTGTAAGTTGAAAAACTTCGAATTGAATCGCTGAATCTTTATTATTCCGTACGCACTCTGGTATGTGTAAAGTGATTGTCATGTTGGTCCTACATCATGTAGAAGTAAAATCGTTTAGTTCTAGTAGAACGTATAATCACAGGTCGCATCAACTTTAAGCTACTTGGTTTTTATTTGATTTTGGGGTCCATCAGAATCCTGGATGCATCATGCATTCATTCCTGCCCCGACCCGTTTATGCCTCAGAAAAGCTAAGCTCCATATGCAGACATATCAGTAATAGAACAAATGATTTTAAATATTTCCGCTATCAATTTGTAATGATATATACATGCTAAATGGTATACACGATGTCGAATTTACATGCATAAAAACACATTAACTCAACTGATTTGGTTTTAAATGTGCTATGGAGGCAACAATGATTGCTGCGCTTGCAAGAATGACTCGTGAAGATTCACAAAAATTGCTCACAAAAGAGTATTACCCTTCGTGGGTTGTTTTCTCACAGAAACAAAAGTTAAGTTGTATCCCTAATTTTACATTTTTACAAGCTTATTTATGTTTTCACTATGTCACTTGCTATAAATGGGGATTGATTTTGTTCATTGTTTTGCTTATTTTTCCAGTTGGATTGGCTTAATGCTCATCTTACAAAGATCTGGCCCTATGTTGATGAGGTCAAACTGGTTTAATTTCTTGCTGATTGCAATTTTATACCATTTATGACACTAAAGTTATATACTTTATAACTTGTAGGCAGCTTCTGAGCTTATAAAGGCTAATGTGGAGCCAATTCTTGAGCAATATAGACCGATTGTACTTTCTTCTTTGACTTTTTCCAAGCTTACTCTTGGCACTGTTGCACCACAATTTACAGGTTACATTAATAATTATTTCCCTTTTTTTTTCTTTTGTTTTACTCTGTTTTCATGTTCCAGCTATTTGCAGTGTTTAGTAACCTTTTATTAACGGAAATGACGACTTTATGATGTGATATTTAACAAATTGACCACCTTTTTTACCAATAGCACAAAATGAATACCAATTTTGCTACTTATGAGTTGTAAATTTGGGAAATTAATTTCTGAATGGTCCCCACCACAAAGAAATTGAAAAAAAAAAACTTTTTTCGTGAAATTGTTAAAAAACATGTTTTTTGCAACCTTTTGTCAGTAAAAGGTAATTTCGTAGCTGATCATTTGCGAAATTGGTGGTCATTTTGTGTTATTAGTTAAAAGAGAAATCTTTAAAAAAATCTCAATATTTTGAGAATTTTTTTAATAAAGGTCTATTTTTTTTAGAAAAGAAAAGTCTGGACTATTTGACTTTTTGAATAGAAAATCTCAAAAACCGGTTAATTTATTCACTTTAGCCATTTTTGACCTGTTCAGCACCAAATTGTTAATTTTTCCAAAACAATGAGATATTTCTGCATATTTCGTCAAAATTTGTATATAATGTATAAATGTATTTTTTTATGTATCTAAATCTATTTTTATGTATTTATGTATTTTTATCAAGTTTTTATATGTATATGTTTACGTATTTTTACATATTTTAATGTATAAACTTCTTTTTTACGTATTTTTATATATTTGAAGTATTTTATATATATATATATATATATATATATATATATATATATATATATTTATGTATTTGTATGTGCTATTTTTATTATGTATTATATATTTATATGTATTTAGGTATTTTTTAAGTTTTTATATAGATTTTTTTTTGTATTTTAAATGTATAAACGTAGGTTTCTACGTATTTATATGTATTTTTAAGTATTTTACATATTTTTATGTATTTTTATGTGTTTTTTTTATGTTATATGTATTTACCTGTATTTTTACATATTTATGTATTGTATTTAAGTTTTTTATATAAATATTTATGTATTTTTATGTATTTTAAATGTATAACCGTATTATTTTTATGTATTTATGTACTTTTTACCTCAAGTCGTCTTCACCATTTCATCCAATTTCCACAGCTTCTTCGAGTATGTCCAGATGGTTTTCTTACATATTCAAATATTTTAAGTTTTCCCATTCGTTTATCTTGAAATTAAACATCGAATTAAAAAAATGAAATAATAATTTATGCACATACGAAAACTTGAGGTTCTTTTGAGGCCACATGATAAGCGATGTTTAATTTCAAGATAAGCGAATGGGAAAACTTAAAATATGTGAATATGTAAGAAAATCATCTAGACATACTCGAAGAAACTGTGGAAATTGGATGAAATTATGAAGTCGACTTGAAATAAAATATACATAAATACGTAAAAATAATACGGTTATACATTTAAAATACAGAAATATCTATATAAAAAACTTAAATAAAATACATAAATATGTAAAAATACATGCAAATATGTAATACATAAAAAATATATAAAATACTTAAAAATACATTAAAAAAATATGTTTATACATTTAAAATACATAAACATCTATATAAAAAACTTTAAAAAAGTACATAAAAGTATATATAAATAAGTAGTACATAAAAAACAAATTAAAATACATAAAAAATATGTAAAATACATATAAATACGTAAAAATATGTTTATACATTTAAAATACATAAAAATACATAAACATCTATATAAAAAACTTAAAAAATACCTAAATACATATAAATATGTAATACATAAAAAAATAACACATAAAAATATAAAATACATAAAATAAATATGTAAAATACTTAAAAATATGTAAAAAAAATATATATGTTTATACTTTTAAAATACATAAAAATATGTAAACATATACATATAAAAACTTAAAAAATACATAAATACGTAAAAATAGATATAAATACGTTTATACATTATATACAAATTTTGACAAAACCTGCAGAAAAGTCTGATTATTTTGAAAAAATTAATGATTTGGTCTCATGACCTGTTGGATAGGTCAAAAAATAGCTAAAGTGAATAAATTAGCTGGTTTTTTTGGGTTTTTCTATTTAAAAGGTTAAATAGTTGGGACTTTTTTGTTAAAAAAAATAGGACTTTATTAAAAAAGATTCCAAAATATTGAGACTTTTTTTGGAGATTTCCCTTAGTTAAAAAGTGGTCCATTTGTTAAATTTCACATCATAAACCGGTCATTTTTTTGTGACTACTCCTTTTATTTATGAGGGAAATCTTTATTATAACAAATTACTTAATTATAATTTAACATGGGCTTTGTTAATTGGTTATGATTTTCAGGAGTTTCTGTTATTGAAGAAGAAAGTGATGGAATAACTTTGGAATTGGAGATGAAATGGGATGGAAACCCAAGTATAGTACTTGATGTCAAGACTAGACTTGGTCTGGGATTGCCTGTGCAGGTAATATAAAGGGTAAAAATGTAATATACCTCAAAGATTATGAAGTAAATTTAGTATTGAAAACTTGATTTTTGATCCAATATCCCCACCATAATAAACATTTACACCAATCTTTGGGGTTTTATGCCAATATATGAAAGAAGTTATAATGAAATATAAATATGATGAATTTTTTTTTTCTTGTATAGGTGAAGGATATAGCATTTACAGGGGTTTTTAGGTTAATTTTCAAGCCACTTGTTGATGAATTTCCTTGCTTTGGAGCTGTGTCATTTTCTTTGAGAAAGAAGGTATTTCAATTCGTTTTCTCCTTCAAGATGTTACTTTAAAATATTAAGTTAATAAATATTTCTTCTAAACATTTCTTTACTTTTGAAATTTATAGAAAGATATGGATTTTACTCTGAAAGTAATTGGTGGTGACATATCTGCTATTCCTGGTGTTGCCGATGCTCTTGAGGTAAAACATTTCAATATTATTATATCATTATCATTATTATTATATTATTATTTATTACAAACAGTCCCTGCCAAAAATTTATTTGTACATAATTAATCCCTATAACTTATAAAAATGGTCTTTGTTTTAATAAAAAATTACAGAAATGGCTCCTATGTAGACTTTTTTTTTTTTTTTAAACAGTCCCTGTAATTTACAGAAATGGTCCCTGCTTAATAGCAAATCTACAGCAGAATTGGTGCCCATAATTTACAAAAATGGTTCCTGTTTTAATATAAAGTTACAGAAATAGTCCCTGTGTAGAAAAAATTACAAAAACAGTCCCTGTAATTTACAAAAAAGGCTCCTATGCAGAATTGTTTTTTTACATAAACGGTCCCTGTGTTTTACAAAAGGAAAGAAATGGTCCCTGCCTAATAGCATGTTTACAGAAATGGTTCCTATGTTTCATAAAACTAAAGAAATGGTGCCTCTCTATTAGCAATTTAACATAAATGGTCCATGTGTTTCACAAAATTAACAAACTACTCCCCGCTTTTCACAAAATTACAGAAATATTCCCTGGTTTTCACAAAATTACACATAGTCCCTGCCAAAAAGCAAAGTTACAGAAATTGTACCTATGTTTCACAAATTTACAGAAATGGTCACTGTCTAATAGCAAGTTTACAGAAATGGTTCTTATGTTTCATAAAACTAAAGAAATGGTCCCTGTCTATTAGCAATTTAACATAAATGGTCCATGTGTTTCACAAATTTAAGAAAATACTCCCCGCTTTTCACAAAATTACAGAAATATTCCCTGGTTTTCACAAAATTACACATAGTCCCTGCCAAAAAGCAAAGTTACATAAATTGTACCTGTGTTTCACAAATTTACAGAAATTGTCACTGTCTAATAGCAAGTTTACAGAAATGGTCCCTGAGTAAGAAAACATTAAAAATACTGTGTCGAAATTATAAGATTAATAAACCCGCCACGTCGCATGGGCCATCCCACTAGTTAAAGTACAATCTGTGGGTTCCCTTCTTTGACATAAGTCGATATGAAAACATAAGTTGAAGGACTTTAAAAGTACAGGGACTAAAGTTGAGATTTCCGATAGTTGGTGGGTTTAAAACAAAATGAACCCTTTCTTGTTTATGCAGAGTACCATACATGATGCAGTTGAGGATTCGATCACATGGCCTGTTCGAAAAGTTATTCCCATTCTCCCTGGTGATTACAGGTACAAATTATTGTAGGGAATTAAAAAAAAAAAAAAGTATCATCATTATATTTTTTTTAAATAACTTGTTAACTTCATGTTACTTATTATTTTTTAATTGTTAGTGATCTTGAATTAAAGCCCATGGGAATATTGGAGGTGAAACTTGTACAAGCACACGGTTTAACTAATAAAGATTTAATCGGAAAATCCGATCCATTTGCAAAATTATATATACGCCCTTTACGTAGTAAAATGAAAACCAGCAAAGTTCTTGTAAGTTTTCTTATTTATTATTCCATTGTTTCTTCAAAAGAACAAATATGAACTTGTGTTCTTTTATTCAGGATAATGATTTGGATCCAGTTTGGAATGAACATTTTGAGTTCGTAGTTGAAGATATTTCCACCCAACATTTGACTGTAAAAATATACGATGATGATGGGATTCAAGCTTCAGAACTCATTGGATGTTGTCAAGTGAAGTTAAGCGAACTTAACCCTGGTAAAGTGAAGGATGTGTGGTTAAAATTGGTAAAAGATTTGGAGATCCATAGAGATAATAAAGATAGAGGAAAGGTGAATACTCTGTGACCCGATTGGCAAAAAGACGTGAATGCCCTTTATGTCTAGTCGATTAGAATTGACGTTGTTTGTTTGGGTTGAATTAGGTGCACTTGGAGTTGTTATATTATCCACATGGTGTGGGAAACGGGTTTATCAACCCGTTTAATTCCACGTATTCAATGACATCTTTGGAGAAGGTTCTAGAAGATGGTTCAGGGGGTGAAAATGGTAATTTTGTCGATAACCAAAGAAAAATGGTAATTACAAGAGGAGTGTTATCTGTGACTGTAATATCTGCTGAAGATTTACCACCTGCAGATTTATCGGGGAAAGCCGATCCTTTTGTGGTTCTCATTATGAAAAAAACCGGGAGCAAAAACAAAACCAGGGTATGTTGTTCTATGCGGTTTTTTTTCTTAAAAATAAAAGGTTAAATGCAAAAAATATCAACGCATTTTCATTAATTATTTTCTTTTGTTAGTTTTTTTAATAGATTTACACAATTATACCCGATACTTGTAGGTGGTAAATGAAAATTTGAATCCAGTTTGGAATCAGACATTTGACTTTGTTGTTGAGGATGGTTTACACGATATGCTCATTCTGGAAATATGGGACCATGATACGTTTGGGAAGGTATGAAAAGGGAAAAAAAAAAAGTAAACTGTTGTACCATATCAGAAAATGTGATATAAAACAGGGACCAAAACTGTAATTTACTTTTTTTTTGTTTGTTTTTGTAGGATTTCATGGGGAGATGCATTTTGACACTAACAAGGGTTATATTAGAAGGGGAATATAAAGACAATTTTCAAGTTGAGGGTGCCAAATCTGGAAAACTTAGCTTAAATCTCAAATGGGCACCTCAGCCGATTTTTCGTAGATCTTAGCATTTGTTTTTGTGTGGGTGGGTGTAGAATTTTTTAAAACTTGAGAAATCTATGGTCATTTTGGAGTGACGATGTTGTTGTGCTATTGTAACGTTGGTTAAGAAGTTGATTAGAATGACATTTGAACTTACAAACAACAATTACACTTTATAAAATGCAAAAACAAGATGTTCAAATTGATAAAAAGAACTTAGGACCTCCTCTATGAATAGCCACTTGCTTTACAAAAAAGCCATCTGGCGATGATTTATTTGTTACAGCATTTGCTGTTTAAACTTTAAAGTATATTCTTAGGTTGATTTACGTAAAATAATTTATTTTTAATTTTTCTTTTATTACTGCTCTTTTAATGGAAGCAAAAACCAACATATGTACACATACACAATACAATAATACCTTCATTATTGGGACTAATATTTTGGGTCGTGTCATTGAAGTGATGTTAATGCAAAGAGTCATTCCATTGCCTTTATTAGCAACATTGTATTTTCAACAACTTACTACTAGTGATGGATATATTTTTATTGCTTACTTTATACACAATTGCCTTTTTTTAGTTATGAACATAATCAGAAAATTCCTAGTGCATAGAAGGTTAGGTGAAAACCGGAAGACAAAATAAATAAATAAATAAATAAAGGCAAAAGGAGACGCTCGACAAGATGACTATATCTCAATGTTTTTGGTTATATTTGACTCCTCATAGATCTGATCATTGCACGTTCGATTCTTAATTTTATATGCAAAGGGGCTAGGGCCATTTTGAAATTTAGAAAGTTTCTTGTTTCTTTAGAAAAACACTTCCATGTAAATGTAACACAAACCATATATATTTCATAAAAACAATTCTTTTTAAGAAATAGTAATCCATAATAGCTCTCAGTTCATTATGAAATTGCAGAAAATTGTTTCCTTAACTCCAATGAAACTTCTATTTATAATAAGAATTTATACTTACAAGTTACATGAGATGAGCATATAAAATACGAAGAAAAAGACGTTCATTTAAAGTAAAATTTATGGAAAACTTTTAGGTAAAACCTATCCATTGGCACACATAACAATACATAAGCAGGTATAAATATCAGTAGTAAAATCTATTTATTGTGAGACCATTTTATATAAAAATCTAGGCCAAAGTCAAAAATGGAAAAATTGTTAATCAATTATATTCGAAAAATCTACATAATTATTTATCGTTAAGAAAAAAGACATTATTATTTATATAATTATTATTTATTATTTTTTAACTGATGTGTTAATTGTAGCCGATGATATCATTCCTTCGATTCTTTCCACGTCCACATCGACATTTAATAGATTTGAATTAAGTTCAATAACCATAGAACATTATAATCATTTATATATGTTTTATTGAAATTTATAGATTGATAATTTTTTCATGATTCTTCAATGAATATTTAAATATGTTTTTTTTTTTTTTTTTTGAAATTTATAGAGCCGGTGCACTGCAAAAAAAAAAAAAAAAAAAAAAAAAGTTGTATGAAATATTAAATAATAATGTGATAATTTATTAAACTTTGTAAAGTTCAAAATGTTATTACTTTTTATAAAACTCTGTAAAAATACAATATAGTTGATGATTTTTTTTTATCATTTTGATATGTTTAAAGAGGAAAAAGAAATGACAGAGACTGTCATGCATATTATCACTCAGAACATATTTAATGCCAAGTCAAATTGTGAAAAAATAACTTTTTTTTTTATCCACAATTGAAAATTTGGAAACTTGAAATCTTGTATCATCTTTTCAAGATGAAATTGAAAACCCATTTTGCACAACAATTAATGCATCTACACGCTTTGCTCCCGAACAACAACACGTATTCAAATTCAGACTCAGTTGCATGCTGATACCAATAATCAACACCTTGCTACACCATAAGTCCATAACCATGACTTTAATCTTCCAATGTTCTTCCAACACACTAACGAATTGAAGGCTTCAGTTTTGGCCTCAAAATCCCACTCACTTTAGTCTTTAGGTAAATGTAAATCTCCTAGATATACATCACATGCATAACCAAATCATTAATATATTAGACTAGGACTCACTTATTATGCAATTAATTTTCATGTCATCTCACTCAATGGGAGGTTGTTGATGAATGAAATATGTCTCCAAAATAGAGTTGATTAATAAATTTCTCCATTAAAGCCATTGCTAGATCTAGAGGAGAATTGCTTCTTGGATCAATATGGGACAAGTGCATGCAACAATGGAGACAAGATTTAACGACTACCCTTCATGTCAAGATTAGAAATCGTAGATAGCAACATTAATGAATGCTCAAGCTATGTATGTATACGCATGTGTATATATCTATATGGACAATTGTACATGAATGATACATATACGTATGCGTAACTGCAAAAATGATACTCGATGGTTATTAGAGCTGGATACCAAAATTTCATGATCCACAAAAAACATGTAACCACAGCCACCAAAATTTCATGAAAAATCCTAATTCCGACAACCCAACTGGCGGATGCCAAATGACACCAATTCCTCGATCACATTTCGATCTCCTCCATTCATGCAATCCACAGGTTCATTTTCTCATCGAAATCGATTGATATATACGTATCTATCTATATACGAAGAGGAAGAACCCCTTTTCGTCTCCGACACCATTTGATTCAAAATCTTCTATCACTGTGATCGATGTGTTTGTTTTTTGGGGAGCAAATGCTATGCAACCGAGGAACAACCCATTCCTGCAATTAAATGGGGCTTATGTCCCCTTCTTCAATCGTTTTTCTTTCGATTAAATTACAGAAATAGCAAATGGGGATCGATAGTACCTTATCATCAAACTTCACAACGATATGATCATATTCTCTTACCCGTCTCAATTCCTACAGCATCTGGTTTGGATTTGATATCGAGCTTGAACTAAAGCACATGGGGACATTGGAGGTGAAGCTTATACAAGCACAAGGTCTGACTAATAAAGATCTTATCGGGAAATCCGATCCATTTGCCAAGTTATACACACGCAATTTGCATAGCATGATGCAAACCAGCAAAGTTATTGTAAGTTCTCTTCTTTCTTCCATGAATGACTATGTCTACAAAGAACAAAGCTGATTACTTTTTATTCAGGACAATCATCTGAATCCGATTTGGAATGAGCATTTTGAGTTTGTAGTTGAAGATACTTCCACCCAACACTTGACGATAGAAATACATGATGAAGATAAGCTTCAAACTTCAGAACTCATTGGTTGTGCTCAAGTGAAGTTGAGTGAACTTGAGCCTGGTAACGTGAAGGATGTGTGGTTAAAATTGGTAAAAAATTTGGAGAGTTATAGAGACAATGAAGACCAAGGGAAGGTGCATTTGGAGCTATTATATTGCCCAGATGGTGTTATTAACCCATTTTCTTCCAACTTTTCAATGACATTTTTGGAAAAAGTTCCCAAAGATAGTTCAGGGGTTGAAAACGGTGATGAAAAAAGAATGATAATTACAAAAGGAGTGTTATGTGTAACAGTAATATCTGCTGAAGATTTACCATCTGCAGATTTAATGGGAAAAGCCGATCCTTTTGTGGTTCTCACTATGAAAAAAACCGGAACCAAAAACAAGACTAGGGTATGTTTAAATCTCTAATTTGGTAGATTTTTCAAACTATAATGTCCTAATAAGTAATAAAAAAAAGTTTACTTTTTGAAATACAATGTCTTTAAAAAGAAAGTGATTGAAATTATATAATGATGTAATAGAAAGAAATGGAAGTAAGATGCTATAAGACTTAGATAAATGAAAGTACATTGCTATTTCTTGTATTTATCCAAAAAAGCATGAACCTTATGTTTATTTTTGCTTGATGGATCAATTGTAGGTCATAAATGAAGATTTGAATCCAATTTGCAATGAGAGTTTTGAGTTTGTTGTTGAGGAAGGTTTACACGATTTGCTTATTCTTGAAGTATGGGATCATGACACATTTGGGAAGGTATGCATATTTTATAGGGACAAAAATGCAAAAAGTAAACTTTTGTATCTTATTCGACAAAATGATATAACATGGGGACTAAAACTGTAATTTACTTTTCTTTCTTTTGCAGGACTACATGGGGAGATGCATTTTGACACTAACAAGAGTTATATTAGAAGGGGAATATGAAGACAGTATTCAAGTTGAGGGTGCCAAATCGGGAAAACTTAACTTAAATCTCAAATGGTTAGCCCAACCAAATTGATGAAATTTAACATCGATCCATTGGGGCTTGTTTGATAAAACTGAACCATTTAATGCTCAATGATTCAAACTTCTTAATGGTTAAGAGAAAGTAGGGTTCCTTAATTGTTTAGGGGATTTTGATGTAGAGGTTGTTTAGAGGCTGTATCAAACGTTTTGAATGATGAGGAGAGGCAACAGGCAACATCTGAATGGTTCTATTAGGATGTGAGATGACACCTAAATGGTTGAATTCAAAGGTTATCAAACAACCTCTTAGTTTAACAATAGTCCTCACCATAATTGTAGGATATGGTGGATACAATATAAAAACAACTCTTTAATTTATATACTTTGTATAGTATAAGGTATAGGCTAAACAATGTTTAAAAAATCGGTTCGAAGCGGGACCAGAGTATATGAGTGGTTCAACTATCACATGTTTTATGTCAGTTTCTAGGTCTGATCGAATCGGATGGTTTATTTAAAAATCTAGGTCTGATCGAATCAGATGGTTTATTTAAAAATCGGTGTGATAGAACCGATAAAAAACTGTTTGAACCGGATTATTGAAGTTAAATAGTTAGATTCCACTAATCCCCTTAAAAAAACTCATTTCCAAATAAAATTGAATAGCTCCATCAGCGTAAAATTTATAGTTGTGTTTTTTTAATATACTTGGATTGATCTACCACTTGCTATTTGTATTTTTAATGTTTGAATTTTTGGATGTCAAATCCTTATATATATATATATATATATATATATATATATATATATATATATATATATATATATATACACACACACACACACACACACTAGCCATTGCGCCAAGCGACGGGTGTAAATAAATTTTTCATAATTTAGTTTCTAAAGGTGCTTAGTTTTTTGTGCAAATAGTTTACAGCACCAAATAAACAATGTGTGTTAAAAACTCGATTCAAGG